CATGTTCACAAATTGTTTACAGTACTTTTTGTACCAAAAAGGTTTTAACACTAATATGAGTCTGAAGTCTGATCTACTAATAAACAGTGACAACAAAAAGCGACATTAATGCCATATCAGGAGCAGTAGATCTAAACAATGGCAAATGATCAATTATCCATCATGTGATCAATTAACTACATGACTGGTATACTGATATGGTCGTGTAGAACATTACATTGACTGAACCATCCGTGCATCAGCGTTTGAAACTGGTTATTCACTTAATTATTATTCCCACGTGTTATATATTCGATTATAGGGATAAATTAAGGGTCTCTTTAATCAAAAGATTGAGAAAACAGAGAAATAGAAAAAACATTATATTCTGATCGGAATTCTACTATAAAATAGAGGATTGTAAAACGTAGAAAAAAAATGAAGAAATGATCGTTTGATTGAATCACAAGAAAAACATATGAATAAGATGAGAGAGATAGAATCATAGGAAACTTCCCATAAGGTTGGACCTCATATTAAAAATTCTCCAAAACTTGTATGTAGGCATTCCTTAGGAATTTGAAAGGATTCAATAGTTTTCAATCATTTGTTTCAAAGAGCTATATAGGAAAAAATATCCTGTAGGATTAGAATCCTAAAAGATTAGGATACTTTTCCTTCAAATTAAAGGGGCCTTAAATATTTTAAAGGAAACCTAATAAATAGCTTAGAACAAATAATTCAAACAATACAATAAAGAAATGTTTTTAGGAAATCACATTTTTGAAATATTGTCTGCAACAACAATCTAGTGGATAAACTTAAAAGAACAGGACGATTATTTAATCTCAAGATGATGAACCATCCATCCATATATTTGCCACCTTCTTTTGCAACAATAGTTATGCACGTTGTAGACAAGTTATACTGATAGTTTGATACTGATTGTGACATGTGCGACAACTCAGGCTTTTTCCTCCTCTGTGCTACTGCATACTCCATATGCTTCAGCTGAATAAGCAAAAAAAAAAAGTTGATCTTTTTCAGGTTAGTTAGCATGCAGATTGCAGAGCCAGCAGACCCTGATCTGTTGGTATTTAGAGCAAACCGACTATACAGTTCGACTGCAAACATCATGTGGCAGGGAAATTTGTATCATCTTCTGTACAACTACAGTAACAGTTGTAGTACAGTGTAGCTAGGTATGATGCTTTGCATGCATGCAGAAGAGCTAAAAAGGTTTTATGATGTGATCCTTGATGATCCGGATGAGTCCTGATCACTCTGCTTTACACAACTTTTTTATTTAAAAGTTGATGTTGATTTTGAATTTAGAAAATTGATCTTTAAGAACTAGTAGCAGTGATCATAAACTTGGAGCTGATTGAGCAGCAGAAGTGATGAAGATATCCCATAAATTTAACTATAAAATTCAAATAATACTTATCTAGTCAATAATATTTATTGCTTTCATGAAACACAATATAAACACATACGGTTATGTACAGACACATACACTTATCTCTATAACTAGCATGCACACCTTATCCTGGCTATGTCCCTAATTTCCTATGAGTACCTCCGATCCAGTTTATATGTGTTGAGATTGACAAAGTTGTCTTCTACCAGTTAAAAGATTTGTTAACTGAAAGGAGTAGATAGCTGCACACACACACAGTGTGTGTGTGTGTGTGTGACGATGTAATATGTATACATGCATCAATGGAATAGATGGCGATGAATCATATGATCGGTTCTGTTTGAATCTCTAAAGATGAAGATTAATAAGTGTTTTATGTAAAATGAGATAGTAATAATTTGTGATTAATTGAGTTTTAATTATTACAAACTTAAAAAATAGATTAATCTGATATTTTAGAACAACTTTCATATAGAAAATTTTCGCACGAAACGTACCGTTTAGCAGTTTGAAAAACGTGCCACGAAAATCCAAAACTTAATCCCCCCTCTGTTGGGTCCTCTAACAGGACCGATCGTTGCGCGTGAATTGATCGATCGATCGAACGGTAGGTGCGATCAAATTACTGCACCCAACTTGGAGAGCGTAAGCCTGTACTACACTGCACATTGCCCTCTCTGCAAGCGAGAGCAAAGCGCGTGGTTTAGACCGAGTTTAGTTTCAAACTTTTTTTTTAATTTTTAAACTTTTTCAACACATCAAAAATTTCCTACACACATAAATTTCTAACTTTCCGCCACATCGTTTCAATTTCAACCAAACTTTCAGTTTTAGCGTGAACTAAACACACCCTTACAGTACTGTTTGTTGCCGGCCGGCCGAGTGATGCTCGTGCCGAGCATTGAAGCCGGCGGCGGCGTCGATCTCGCCGGCGAGACAGCTGCCGCCGCCGCATGTAGCCATAGCTAAGCTACGCCTTTCGCAGCAGCAACTAGCAAGTAGCCAAATTGCCAAGTTGTTGCTGCATCACTGCATGCATTATACTCCCTCCGCCTCAGAAAAAGACAAACCCTGGTTTTCTGTGTCAATATTTAACTGTCCGTCTTATATGAAATTTTTTATAATTAGTATTTTCATTGTTGTTAGATGATAAAATATAATTAATACTTTATGTGTGACTTATCTTTTTAATTTTTTTTCATAATTTTTTTAAATAAAACGAACGGTCAAACGTTAGACACGGAAACCAGGGTTTGTCTTTTTTTTTTTCTTTTGCGGAGGGAGTATTACACATACCCAGCCTTTCTGTGAAGTCTGAACCTAGCTTTGCTTTTAGCTAGCAACGGGAGTGATGATGGCTATGCATTGCATATGGCTGCATGCGTACAATAGCTGGTCTGCGCCGGCCATTGAAACGGGACCAAAACGATGTCAGAGTATCAGAGCGACCAGTGGATCGGAGAGAAATTGAATCATCTATGCGTCTCTAGTGTAGTGTTGTGTAGTGTAGCATCTGCATCAGCTGCACGGATGCATTTGTTGGGGCCTTGTTGGAGATACTGCTATGATCGATGCAATTCAAACATCGTACACACACTTCAATTCGTTTTTCTTATCTGACAAATCTGACCGACTTGTCACAATACGATATGTATGTAGACCGTGTTTAGTTTTTCCCCTATTTCTAATTTTCCATCACATCATGTCACGTAAAAACTTTCTCACACACATAAACTTCCAACTTTTTTTTTCCAAACTCCCAACTTTCTTCAAACTTTTAACTTTTTTCAGAAACTAAACCCACCCTTAATTACTATCTTTTCTAGTACGACTACCCTTAAACCAGCATTTTCACTTTCGATTTCAGGACCTGTTTGGATCCTCTGGCAAGTTTTTTCACCCTGTCACATCGAATGTTTGGGCACATGCATGAAGTATTAAATATAAAAAAAACTAATTACACAGATTGCGTGTAAATTGCGAGATGAATCTTTTAAGCCTAATTGCTTCATGAGTTGACAATGTGGTGCTACTGTAAACATTTGCTAATGACGGATTAATTAGACTTCATAAATTCGTCTCGCAGTTTATAGGTGGAATCTGTAATTTATTTTGTTATTAGACTACGTTTAATACTTTAAATGTGTGTCCGTATATCTGACGTGACATGGGAAAAATTTTTACCACTAGATCTAAACACAGCCTTAGTTAAAATTTCGGTAGCACGGAAGTCTATGAAATTTTGAGATTTCCGGCACAAAATTATTTGAATTTTTTTAAAAAAATTACTGAATCTGATAAGCTTTGACTAAATCATAAAGAAATTGAGAAAATCTGGAAATTTCGGGCTAGCTAATTACTTGCTGGGGTTGGGGGGGGGGGTTTAGAAATTAGCGAAATTGCAATCACTTCCTTAAACTGTCCTGAATTGTTGATTAAGATGTGAATAAATACACGTACATATAATACATTTATACTTCCTTTGTCCAAAATAAGTTTATGTTTCATCCATCCACATGTACTAATCAATACAAAACCAAAAATATTAGAATATCCTTATTTTATCAAATCCTAATGTAATTATTCTCCACGTATTTTCTACTTAACAAACTTGAATACAATGAACATAAAAAGAAATAAACTTATTCTGCGAGGAAAGTCCATGACTTTGTGAAAGATGGTATGGTCGGCATCTCCATTGGTGGAAGAACATACGTACATGTGTGCAGGATCGGAACACACCATTGGTGCAAATTAAGCTGCCTGCACATGGGGAATACGTGCATACGTAATCAAGTTGACGGACACATGTACATAAAAAAACGATGATTAATTACTTTATTCTCACAACGCCCATCCGTCTGTTCGTCTCCATGCTGTGCCATCGATTCGCACCATCCTCATCATCAATTTGGCCGTACTAGTGATCGAAGGAGGGTCAGCCGCTAAGCCAAATTGGCAAGCAGTGACATAGTTTCCAGAAGTAAGGAGCTAAAGCTAGGCTGCTAAAACAGAGCAACGAATAGCTGGGCTATCCCATCCGGCCATCACCCTGCAATGCACTGAACAACAAAAGGATGATGGATTTCCTAAAGATAGGAAGGAAACGGGTAGATCTAGACTGTCAAATATTCTAGATACAATGAACAAAAAATTCGAATGATTTGAACCCAAAAACATATGAATGTTACACATGCAGTCTCAAAATTTAAATAAATTATCGGCTGTAGGCGGATAGGGAGAGGCACTCCTCGGTGGCAGGCGGAGAAATGAACCAGCACCGACACATATATACCCGATCACTACTGAAACAATTTTGTGAAATTTGCTTAAAAATGCTACTATATTTTCCTTAGCTCAATAGTAGGATTTTTTTTTTCTGACTCCACTCCTGAACAGAGAGGAAGTGCTCTCCCATTTTCTATCATCAGAAAGGTATAGGCTACCAGAACAGAGCAACAGAAATGTAAACAAAGACTAGGCTGATCGCATACACAATCAGGCTGCCAGAACAACAAAAAATACAGACAAAAGCATCCAGCTCCCCAGCTGGGACATATCCAACATTTCCTTTGGTCTAGAACAGCATCAGCTCTGTACAAATGCATGATCACAAATAACAAAGAGTATGGGAACAGTCACCCTTGCTTCAGAGATATGATTTCTTATGGAATATAATCAAGTACGTACTTCTGTACTAATGATCAATGGTACACACATTACATATAGGTGGTTAAACTAAGCTTTCGCGAAACCTGCATGGAGGCATGGAGACATAGAACAAAACACTGTTGTTCTCTAGCTTATAGAACCTCTCGATTGCAGATGGACACTCCAAATATGTCGATCGATCTAGCCCTATATATATATGCAATGAGTGTTTTCAGATAAGTTGTGAATACTATGTTAATATATGCGCACAAACTATAAGGTAGCAGCACTGAATTGCTATACTGCATGCTGAAGAACATGGCGAGCACCTGACTAAACACTGCAAGCGAGAGCAGCACAGAATTAACTTAGCTAGCTAGCCAAGCTCGATCAGTCAAGCTGGAGGACGAATTGTGGGTGCCATCACCCAAGTAAGTATATATATCTATATATATGTTCACTGCGTCGAGCTTATTCGGGTTAATTGATTGGGAATTGGGATTGAAACCTCAATTTTTGGCCTGAGCCCCCAAAAAATCCTGGAAATGGTATAGATATTAGGATTTAACGGTGTGAAAATTCATGTCAGGATTGTGTTTGCACTCATTTGTTTAACCGAAAATGTGAAACTTCATGTCAAAACAGGGACAAAATTCATGTTAAAAGGCTTGATATCAAAATAAGGGTAAAAATACAAAGTCCTCAGAAAAGTAGGGGCAAATCTATAAATATAACGACTGTATGTCTTTGACACTGGAATAGGGTAAACACAAAGCTTTAGTTAAAAAAAATGAATACAATCACAAAATTGTAAAAGTAAATGTAAAATCACCATTGAAGTTTAATTTAAAACATGGATAAGAATATGATTGTCCCTATAATATCAACAAGCTTTCTACATAATATTATTTGAAAATATTACTAGAATGGTACGTAGGTCTGGTTGAAAATGGTAAAATGTTAGTTTTTTTTTTCTTTGGGTCGGCTTGGCCTTGACAATTTAAATTGAGCCCGTGCATTTTCAAACTACCGTGCCCGGGGTTTAATGAAGGTTCCAAAAGCATTCAGTCACCAAATACCGCTCTCAAGCGGTTTTATTGATAACGGTGATAAATGCTCTGTTACAACAAAAACCGGTAAAATTTAGATAAATTTTGCTAGAATTTTAAATTTGAATTTGAATTTTGAAATTGGCAGGTTCACCAAGCAGTTTCTCAATTCTTCCAGATACTAAAGGGGCAGCAACAGCGATAATCGAGTGGTTACCATTGTATTTTCAAACCCTGCAGTGCATTGAACAAGTTTGCACCCCCAAGTGCTTTTTCCTCGACTTAAATTTGAGTATATATATATATCGCAGTGGATCATGGAAATCATGTTTTGCTTGATTTTGTATGTTTGGTACCTAAAATAGTCCTCTGCCTTTCCCATTCGACACTAAGTTTGAAACATATATATTGTTGCTCGTAGGGTATATATATATAGATGAAATTAATGTAGTGGGACACAAAAAAAAAGGTATTTTGTGTGACCTAATAAAACATTATTATCAAAATTAATATATTTTGTATATGTCCACAAATGAAGGAAGACTTAAGTCCCCGTTCTTTTATCATTACAGACACCAAATTATGCGAGGCACACTTTCCAAACACTCTCGATTTTTGAGAAAACTTTCTTCATCAGCATTTCTTGAAAAAAAATACCTTTTCTAAATCAACTTAAGTTATACGGTGGTTCTCTCAAACTCAGTTTCACCTATTACCATTTTTAAACATGCTCTTAGGTTAAGTTTGGTAGACAACAGCCCTGACCTGCATACCTTGTTGGTCTCTTCATCCTAAAAATCTAAAGATCAATCATAAATATTCATATTTTTTTAAAAAAAAAAGGTAAGGAGGAGTACTTAAGGGTAGTGGTGTAGTTACATATATATATATATATATATATGACTATTCACCAATATTTAAATCCGTGTCTAAATTTTGCGCGCATGCACGTACATTTTCTATAGACTCTAATAACAATCTCCGTAAGGAAAGAAACATTGTGTTTGGTGTACACGTCGTCTTTCATTAAAAAATAATTTTGAAGACAAAAGGTTGAAAATAAACCTGCACTACTAATTTTAATTTAAATGAAAAAAAAGAATCTTCTCATGAGCCATGCATGATCCCTCTTTATTTTTTCAATAAAATAAAATAAAGATCCATGAGCCACTCCACCTTAGCTCCTATAAAGACTCCCCCCCTCTCCCCTCCCCTTTCCTCTAAACCCCTTCCAATAATCCCTCACCAACCCATACCCCCACACTCCCTCTCACACTCCACTCTAGCTAGCTAAGCTACCTTCTTACTCCATTTGAGCAAACCAAAGCTCATCTAGAGAGAGAGAGAGAGATCTAGAGAGAGAAACCAGCAACCACTCTTCCTCCATCTCCATGAGCAAGAGACCAGATCGTTCGTTCTAGATTGTTCTAGCTAGATAGCTTCATCGTCAACCTTGGCAACGCCAAGAAAATTAACCAGCAAGAACACAAGAAGCGGCGGCGGCGGCGATGGAGGTGGCGACGATGCTGACGCTGACGCTGCTGGCGTACTCGGCGGCGATGCTGGCGCGGCTGCTGGTGGCGCGGTCCCGGCGGCGGCGGTGCTACCTCCTCGACTACGTGTGCTACAAGGCGACCGACGACCGGAAGCTCCCCACCGACCTGTGCGGCGAGATCATCCAGCGGAACAAGCTGCTGGGGCTGGAGGAGTACAAGTTCCTCCTCAAGGTCATCGTCAACTCCGGCATCGGCGAGGAGACCTACGGGCCCCGGAACATCATCGGCGGCGGCGACGCCCGCCCCGACCGCCTCGCCGAGGGGATGGAGGAGATGGACGAGACGTTCCACGCCGTGCTCGACGAGCTGTTCGCGCGCTCGTCCGCGGCGGGCGGCGGCGGCGTCCGCCCCGCCGACGTCGACCTCCTCGTCGTCAACGTGTCCATGTTCTCGCCGGCGCCGTCGCTCTCCGCCCGCGTCGTGCGCCGCTACAACCTCCGGGAGGACGTGAAGGTGTACAACCTCACCGGCATGGGATGCAGCGCCACCCTCATCGCCCTCGACCTCGTCAACAACTTCCTCAGGTTTGATTTGATTATAATTAAATCTCTCCTCTTCTTCTCTCCAGGTTTAATTAATCTTGTTCTTGGTATTATGCTATGTTTTCAAATGCTTGTCAATATATAGTTTCTCATATTTAAATTTTAAATCATTTGTTTTTAAAAGATGTCGTATTATTAAAGCATACGTACGTTGTATACTTAAACATGAGACATCGTACACTCTGGCGATCTAAAAATTAATTACTAGTGACAGTGCTGGTCAACAGTGACGAGGATTATTTGGGAATTAAGGATGGTATAAAAATACCATTGTATTCTCTATTTGCAGCTGAAAAAAATCACAAAAGTACAATGCATTTGATTCTCAATTTACAAACTGAAAAAAAAATCAAAATGAAAAAAATACCGGGATCATCATAAATTCGCTGCACCGCTGGATCGATCGTTCTTGATTGATCCAACGGCCGGTACACGTGTGGGGATGGTTTGAAGTACATGGTTAATGTTGTGCAGGTAGCTCAAGAAAGCCTTGAGTTGGGTTTACCTGTCAGTAAAAATGGTCCCTACAAACAAGTGATCATCAGTAATTTCTAGCGATGCTTTTGTCTACTGTGCATCATGTTCTCTGGTCACACGCCATTCAATCGGTCCGAGCTACTACCACGATCAGATCGAAGAGTTATTGCATGCGTTTCCTTTTTCTTTTATTTGTCATGGGTTTTTATTTTTTCTTTTCTGATTATATATATAGAATAACACAACAAATATATAGTACCAATTATATGCATGCACTTTATATGCTCACAAGTACACAACCATGGTTAGTCAGTGATACAGCTGTTTAGATAATGGAGCTAGTTAGTACTACTGCTTAATTAAGTTAGGTCTCTTTCTGTTACCTTTCTATTTTTTGTGCAGAAAAAAGAAAAGAGCTCCTGACCAATTTTAGCTATCACTTCCCCCAAAAAAGCGCAGTACTGAAATTAATTACCAGTGGTGGTTAGGAAATTAATTAAGAAACTGTGTGAAAGTAGGAATAAAATGAAGAAAGGAGCCGAGGTAAAAAAAAGAGTACACACCAAATTAATTAGATGTTTACAAACATTTTACAAATTAATCACAATTCTCAAATAAAAGGGAGTTATCCCAACTATCCTTATTAAATCTACTTCATATGGTGCATATTAGTAAACTATAAAGATGCTTGTGCATGTACTATTATCATTTATCATACAGCATGCTACCCTTATTAAATCTACTACAAGTAGTGCATATTAGTATACTATAAGGATGTACATGCATGTACCATTACCATTTAGGCATTGTTTAGTTCCAAACTTTTTCTTCAAACTTCCAACTTTTCCATCACATCAAAACTTTCCTACACACATAAACTTTCAACTTTTCCATCACATCGTTCCAATTTCAACCAAACTTCCAATTTTTGACGTGAACTAAACACACCCTTATTAGAAGGCACGAATTTTGGTCCATTATATATATATACATATAGAGAGATATTCGTTTTGAAAATATCGTATTAGACTGTTTCCGATCGTCAAAATATTAAGATTTAATTATGGGCAAATGCATAATAGATTTTCTTTTCAGGCTTTCAGTCTCTCCACCATGTTTTCATAAATTTCATAAAAACCTATAATAACATGAAGGAGAATACAGTGATGATTGTTGTAGTAGAACAGTAGAAGTACACACTCTTTGGTACTACACTCCAATACTCCATCGCTCATCGACAGAGAAGTAAATGGGATCGTGAAGCTAGAGCTGCGCTGCACTGGACTGAGCTTTCAACCACACTGCATGTGAGCCAGCTGCTCTGCTCCATACTGCCCCCATAGCTTAATACTAACAGCTAGCTAGCTCCTTCTTCTTCCTCCTCCTCCATTAATGGCGGCTCAGCAAGTTTGGTTTGCCTTTATAAGAGCAGCTACCTTACCCCTAGCCTAGCCACCCTGTAAGCAGCAAGCATCAATATTGTACTGACGTGGATCATGTCTTCTTCTTCCTCCTATGGAACGTAGGAGTGGTACAGTACGTAGTAATGGTAGATAGACACTGCCTTTCACCGGTTTGGGCCTTTGGGATCCATGGTTGCCGGTTTCAGTGGTGAAAGCCAGTGGCTTTTCAGTTGGAGAAAAATCGGAGAGTATGGTTACCCCACCGACCGTAGTCCGACCTGACAGGTCAGCAAAAGCGGGCGGTGAGGTGGCGCATGCGTGGAAATGGTGTGCCCACGTGTATAAAGCATGGGCCGAGGTTTGGTCTAGGAATAACAACTGAGATCTATCAATTGACGGAGTAAAAAAAATATAGAGGTCAACAGTTTAGATCGATTGTCCGTTTGATCTAGTTGGTCAATATATTTAAGTTTCTAAGTAAATGCAAGGATTTTTATTTTTCTTGTGGAGAAGGCATTTTTCTAAATTTATTTACATTTAGACACCAATACATTATGTATTGGAATACTATTATGCCTCTATCCAGTCTCCATCTCTCCGATCAATTAACGGATCAACCGATATTGCAACAAAACATACATGGCTTGCATTTTAGGATTCATGGTGCATAATCTCCATGCATGGATGAAGTAGTAATTTGGAGTGTAAACTTTGAACATACTCTATCTATTCAGACATATTTGACATTTAGCATAAATTTCGGTTGAACTAACAATAACTTTTAAAATGCCTATTTTTTTATTAAAAAAAGTATATGTAGATTCACCATAGAAATGTAAGCAGTAACATTATTATAAGCTCATTAGATTTTGTAAACACATTGTAATAAAAAAATCCACAGTCAAATTCTTAAAAATCTGACTAATTAAATCTTATTCTAAACATGAGATTTGTTTTCTTGGGAACAAAATAAAAGGCCCACCCTTTTGCTTATTCCTGGAATAAGCGAAACGAAGTGATCTTTGAATAAACCTTTATATACATGTTCTTAACGATCTAAAAGCAAAGGTTGAAGAATAAACTTCGATGAAAAAAACCTTAAAATCACCTTCAAATTTAAGGTTAAAAATTTAAATTTTGGCTGATAAGTAGTATAAGCATTTGTTGGAATGCATATGGCAGGACGCACGCGAACAAGGTGGCGCTGGTGATGACGTCGGAGTCGATCGCCCCAAACTGGTACGCCGGGAACAAGCGCAGCTTCATGCTGGGCAACTGCCTCTTCCGCTCCGGCGGCTGCGCCTACTTCCTCACCAACGACCCCCGCCACCGCCGCCACGCCAAGCTCCGCCTCCGCCACCTCGTCCGCACCCACACCGGCGCCTCCGACGACGCCTACTCCTGCGCCCTCCAGATGGAGGACGACGCCGGCCGCCCGGGATTCCACCTCGGCAAGGACCTCCCCCGCGCCGCCGTCCACGCCTTCGTCAAGAACCTCCGCCTCCTCGCCCCCCGCGTCCTCCCCCTCCCCGAGCTCCTCCGCCTCGCCTTCGCCACCTTCCTCTCCTCCGGCCGCCGCAGCGGCGGCAAGAAGACCTCGCCGTCGCAGCAGCCGCTCACCATCCGCATGAAGGCCGGCGTCGACCACTTCTGCGTGCACACCGGCGGCGCCGCGGTGATCGACGGCGTCGGCAAGGGGCTCACCCTGACGGAGCACGACCTCGAGCCGTCGCGGATGACGCTGCACAGGTTCGGGAACACGTCGGCGAGCAGCGTCTGGTACGTGCTCGGCTACATGGAGGCCAAGCGCCGCCTCCGCCCCGGCGACCGCGTCCTCATGCTCACCTTCGGCGCCGGCTTCAAGTGCAACAGCTGCGTCTGGACCGTCGAGAAGCCCGTCTCCGACGCCGGCGTCTGGAAGGACTGCATCGACCACTACCCTCCCAAGGAGCTCGCCAACCCCTTCATGGAGAAGTACGGCTTCGTCAAGGACATGATGAACTTGTGATCGATCCATCAAATTCCCCAATTAATTCCTCGATCGATCTCTCAAGAACCAATATAATCAATCGATATTGCATGTGCTTGCTTGCGTGCATGGATTAATTAAGCGATCGGTTAGTTAATTAATTTTATCGCCATTTGCTGCAGCTCTGTTGATGATTAGGATGAACATTATATTTACAGGGAGGGGGAAGAAGAAGTAAGAACAATCAATGAGTTGAACAAAAAAAAAACTAAGGATTCAATTCATAGGTACATATAGCAGCTTGTGATTCCATAATTTTCTTTTCAGCATGGTGGTAGTATATGGATTTTATTTATTTATCTTATTTTTTTTGTTGTTGTTTGTAACTCTCTGTATGTTGCTAGCTACGAGTGTCGTCCTAGCTGGTGGCAGGTGTTGTGTCTTTCATTAATTGTTCATGGTGATGGACTATTTCTATTCAAGGATCAAATTAAATTATTTTTTTTTGAAAGGAGGATTATTTATCAGTTCATGGTCATGTGCAAGTCTCATGCTGCAATAAATATCATATACCCTGTAAAGATACAAATAGTATACTATGTACTAGCTACTATAAGGAGTATATGTTTTATTCATATCTTTTGAGAACCAATTCAGACTTGATTAAGGTTTATCCTTTTTTCATTCTAAGTATTTTTCCTAAAACACAATATACATATAGAGGCTCATATATAAACATTAGCACACTCTTATTCAGAGTTAGAGCATCCCAGCAACTCGTCTAAATTTGATCTTCCATATAGCTATATAGATGGTCATAAAAAAAAGGAAAAAGTACGAATTACTCCCTCTCAACTATTGCACGCGTTCAATTTACCCCCCTAAATTACAATACCAGATATTTTTAACCCTAAACTTTTCAAACCGGACAAATTACCCCCCTAACTCACCTCGAAGCGGTTTTGATCCAACGTGGCGCACACGTGGCGGTCCAGTCAACCAAAAATAATACTCCTAAAAAATAGTGGCTCCCACTTGTCAGCATCTTCTCCTCTCTTCTACTTTCTTCCACCTTCCCCTCCCATCCATCTCTCTCTCTCTCTCTCTCTCACCAAGGAGCAAGGGCCGGGGAACGGCAGCAACGGCGTCACCAGCGTGGGAGGAGACGAGCAGCAGGCAGCGCGCGTCTCGCGACCGCAACGGCACGAGCTAGGGGTGGCGGAGGACGGCGCGACAGTCTAGGCTAGGGCGGCGGCAGCGTTCCCGGGGTGGAAACGGGTCGGCGGCGGGAGACGCTTGGCAGTGCGGCAGGCGGCAATGGTGTGCGAAACGAGGGCGGCAAGATGGGACGCGACCTTGGCTTCCATCGACGCACAGGAGGGCGGCCGGACGTTGTCGTCGTCGTCCTTGATGTGGCCGAGCTCCATCGCCATGCCGAAGACTTCCTGCAACCTGCAGATGCTCCTGAGGACCACCTGCATCACGATCTGGACCACGCAGTACTCCATGGACGCCACCGACTCGATCCCTCATCAAACAGAAACTATCCTACCATGATCCATCCAGCCAGAGATCGGTCAAGAACCGAATCCAGTGCTATCAAAGTAAGATCGCAACAAGCAACCATGAATTGATTCTAGAATGCAAAGTACCGATTATCAGAAAAGAACGAGAGCAATGCAATAGATTAAAAGGGAGGCTAGCAGTGACGGCAAAGATGCCAGGTCGGCGGCTGCGGACGAGTGTGGCGCTGGAAGCGCAGGTGCTTCTGGTGGGGGAGGATGCCGCCACGGACGGCGCGGGGACGACACGGGGAGTCGGGGACATCACCACTCCGGCTCCGACGAGGTAGGCAGAATGGGCTACTGTTCCTCGACGTCGAGGCACTTGCACTTGCGGGCGGAGGGTGAGGGGTCAACGAGGACGAGGAGCGCGGCAGCGGCGGCGAGGTGGTGAGTGAGAAGGAGGAGGAGGAGGTGGATGGTGGGAGATGGAGCGGCGTCATCGGTGGCCGTGGCACATGGTGGTGGAGACTGGAGAGAGGTAGGAGGGGAGAGATCTGACGATGGGCCCCACCGACTTTTTTTTAATGAATTGCTGACTGGATTGCCACGTGTCTGCCACGTAGGACCAAAACCACTCCGGATTGACTAAGGGGGTTATTTGTCTAGTTTTAATAGTTGAGGGTGTAAATTAAATATCTGGTTTTCGAGTTTAAGGGGATAATTCGGTCGACCGTGATAGTTTAGGGGGGTAATTCGTACTTTTTCATAAAAAAAATTTCCTCCTTTATATTTCTCTCCACTTCTACAGATCATCCATATTACATCATCTATATCACATCCTCAAATATTTTAAGAGTATCTTTTAACTACCATCAATTAATATTAATTTTTCTTTTTTTTTCACCATTATCCTTCTCTTTCACTCCCTTCTCTTTCACTCCAGAAGTCCAGAGAGCTTGAGAGAATGGGAGGACGCGAGCGAAGGACGGAGGAGCGGAGGGGCACGAGCAGCTCGCCGCCGGTGGGAGCGGAGGGGCGGCGCGAGCGGCTCACCGCCGGCCAGAGCGGAGGGGTGGCGCGGGCGAAGGGGCGGCGCGAGCAGCTCACCGACGGCCAAGCAAAGTGGCGGCGGGAGTGGAAGGGCGGCGCGGCCGAAGGTGGTCGACGGCGGGAGCGGCCGACGAAGGTTTGCCTCATCCTCTCTCCTTGATCTACCTTCATTACTTCACCCTCTGCCTCGATCTCGATTCGGATGGGATGGGAGAACGGATGGGAGCGGTGGTTGCGGGATGGCATGAGGAGAGAGAACTCTGGGAATAGCGCATGCGCCATCTATGGAGGCCTAGAGGGGGGGTCTAATGGGCGATCGATCGCTAGGGCGATCGCCCAGTGATCGGTCCACCCCCCCAGCTCCTATAGACACTCCTCCCACTTCCCCCCTTCCTCCTCCCCTTCTTCTCTTCCTATCAGAGTACACCACAAAAAAAATTAAAAAAACAAAAAGTTAGAAAAATTTATGTATAAAAAATTTGAATTCAAATTCAAATTTGAATCAGGTATGTAAACTTTTGACTTGTAGATTTTGGATCTATAAACTTTAGGTGTATAAACTTTAGATGTATAGAAATACTATATATGAAAAATATTTGAATTCAAATTCAAATTTGAATCGGATATATAAACTTTAGGTCTATAAACTTTAGATGTATACAAATACTATATATATAAAATATTTGAATTCAAATTCAAATTCGAATCGGATATATAAATTTTTGACTTATAAACTTTTGGTCTCAACTTTAGATGTGTAAACTTGAGGTGTATAAACTTTAGGTGCATAAATTTACTAAAATAGGAAAGTAATACGGTGCCAAAAAAGGAAACCAGGTGGAGGAAGGGAGGGGGAGGAGGGAGGGAATCGATCGCTCGCTCGCTCGCCCAGTAGCATTCCCGAGGCCCAGATGGCGTATCTGTTGGAGCCGGATTTTCTCCCCCCATACACTATTTTCTGGATGGAAGATGGGATGCCGGAATTGATGGGAATGCTCTTAGATCGCAAGTTTTATTTTTTATTCTAGTATTAAGTAAGTGATGCATCATTGGTTGATAGAGATGCAACTCAATATGAATCATTGTGGGCAGCACCCATCAGGGTTTCCCAAACCGCCGGGGCCAGGGTTACCGCGCCCCGGCGGTAAGCACGGTTACCGCGCAGTAACCGCGGTAACCGCAAAAAACCGTACAAAACCGTGCAAAATTTATCAAAAATTTAAATTATTTTTTAAATTTATTTGAATTTAAGGAGGTTACAACGGTATTTATATTACCGTACCCCCGCGGTAAGCCCGGTAACCGCGATAACCTCACGGTTACCGGCGGTAAGGTAAACCCTGGCACCCATACGACCTAACCATGTCAAGATTCGATCGGTTTTTCCCTTTTAGAAAAAAGTAAGAGATCAACTACACTTCATTTCATTAAGAAAGAAAACAAACCGCCCATATTTCATTTTTTAAAAAAACAAACCGCCCATATAACCAAGGCCTCACGAGCCATTCATTAAAAAAAAAGGCTCACAAGCACTTCGTCAAGAACTTATCCACAATGAGCATCACACAAGACGACACATAATTATTTTCTTTTTTTAGAAACAACGCAGACACTCACCTTACCCCTATAAGCATCTTCAAAGACTGCGCCTCACTGTTGACAGGTACGTCGCCTATCACTAAAAACACAGCGCCGTTAAATCCTATAAAATTCGCTCTCATGGGGAGTCGAACCTAAGACCTCAGGTGCTACTGAGGCTTTTGTAACTATTAGGCTATTAGGCTACAGTACGGTTGTCTCCGCTATAGACCCGCTCTCAATCCTCTGGGCTATGATAAATTGATAATGGGAAACAGCTAGCGCCGCCGGACCGGCTGGCCTGCATCTTATGATAGATGTTCCATGATCCAAGCACATCTACCTGTAGTTACTGTACAAACGAAATCATTAGGTTATATAGCTCATCGCCAACTAGCCAAATCCCTACTCATCTTAAATACACAATTACTCCACTAATTAGGACCATCTAAAAATATCTTGAGCTAGCCGCAATGCCAACTCACACACAGAGAATATAGTCCCTCTGATATTTAGAAGGGCTGAATCAGATGTTCCTAATGAGACTGCATCCGCATTATTAACTAATAATACAGCAAATTAATACAAGTACAGTGCGACGTCCCATTCGCAAACAAACAGCAGTGCTCTGATCAATCAATTAACGAAAAAGGGGATATATGATCCCAATTGATGTGCTGTTGATATGTGCTGCTGTGATGCCACGTGGAGAGGGAGAGCCAGACGGATGGTGATGGTGACACATTCATTTCAAGCCTAATCCTCATTCATTTCGTATCATATATAATCACAATTGCTGATTGATGACAAGTTAATTAACTGTACTATGTATGTTGCCAGCATCGATCGTAGACATGCAGATCGACGCGGTCCCCGAGTGGATGCAAATTAATGCCTGCGCCATTTTCTTTCTGCTATGGTCATCGTCGCTACTTCGTGTTTTAGGTGTAGTTGAGAGGAGTGGAAATTAGACAATTGAGAGTGTCATTAACATATAATTAACTAAGTATTAGTTATTTCTTAAAAGATAATTAATATGAATATTTAAAACATTTTTTCTAGAGATTTTTAAAAAATATCATTTAGTAATTTAGTAAGCGTGAACGGCAACGGGTAAGTTTTTCCTATTTTTGTGCTATTGGCGAAAGCAGCCCTATAGTTTTGTCTGAAAAGTTAAATAACTATAGCTGGTAAGTCTATACAAAATCGTGACAAACATATCAAATTAGTTTAATTAAAATCAACGATAACAATACCTATTTCTTGATATATAGTGTATTAACTTAAGTACAGTAGATGTTAACTATATATTTATAGATTTGCTCCAAGTTAATTTTTTTTGACGTAGTTCAAGACTAGAACAACTTGCATTTTGGAATGAAGTATCCGGTTTCTTACTGACATTCGTCTCTCTAATTAAGCATGTGCGAAGGAGCACATTTTTTTGTACATATTAATTTGATGTACTTTCTCTGTCATAAAATAACTTTATTTTTCACATACCCTATATATATATATATATATATATATATATATATATATATATATATATATATACACACACACACACAAATAAAACAAATAAAATTTTCTTTATTTTATAAAATCCTAATACAATTTTCTTATGTTTATTTTTTTGGTTTTTTGGGACGGATGGAGTAAGTTGCTGGTGCGCACACGCCCTGCTCATGTGCAGGTTCACCTGGCCCTAGCCCTGGAGGGAGGAATGGGGCAAAACTTGTAACGAAGAAACTGCTTATCCATATATTATGACACCATGATTTAAATATAATTAGTATACTATGACATTAATAATAGACACGTTATGACACCAACGAAACGATTTTCTGGATCCGCCAATGGCAACGAGACAGCACGGCGACGAGCCAACGACTGACTAGGTAGCGACGAATCAACGACCAACGATGGCAGTGCGGAGACGATGCGGTGCGGCCGCGAGGCAGCATGCCGACGAGGCGCGCGGCCGGCGACGAGACAACACGATGATGAGGGGGACCAGCGACGAGGCGAGCGGGAGGGAGACCGACGCCGTCGTCGTGTTGTGGTGAGGAGGCCACACAACGACGCAGACGAGCGAGCGAGGGGAGTGGACGGGAGGTTGGCTACGGCGCGGGTGGCGCACAACGACGCGGATGAGCGAGGGGATTTCGCTGGATATGCACCATTGAGCATGTATCGATGTATAAGATTGATTGATGATAAGGCATATGATTGATTTTAAATCATAAGGCATAGGTTTCCTTATATGTGTACATCCCTTCATCCGTTTGGGCCTATGGAGTAACGGGCCATATTAACATAGACATAGACTTTTGGGGCCTCATAGGGTCACCTGCGGGTCAGCTTTCATCCCCGCCCCGGCCCCGGTTATGTTCAGGGCCCCGACCCGATCGACCCGCGGGTTAAAAATTGTCCCCGGCCCCGGTCCGCCCCCACCGGCACGTCAGCACGCATGCAGTTTGCTGTGCCATATGGGGGTTATTATCAGGTCTCAAAGACCGTGTTTAGTTGTTTTGGCAAAAAAATTTGTATATACGGACACATATTTAAAGTATTAAACGTAAACTAATAACAAAATAAAATACAAATTCCACCTGTAAATTGTGAGATGAATCTATTAAACCTAATTAATCCGTCATTAGCAAATGCTTACTGTAGTACCACATTGCCAAATCATGATGTAATTAGGCTCAAAAGATTTTTCTCTCGTAATTTACATGTAAAAACTGTGCAATTGATTTTTTTCATCCATATTTAATGGTTTATATATATGTTCAAATATTTAATATGTAACAGAAAAGTTGTAAGTTTAAACGGAACTAAACACAGCTATAGCCGCGCCGCGTCTTGTCCGTTAACGGCCACGGCACTGAGGCTTTTTGCAGCTATAGCTGTCGTGGCGGCCGTACATATAGGAGACGGACAAGGGGAATAATGGATGCGCCGGCCAGTGGGGAGTGACCGGCGCAAGGACAGCAATGGCCAATGGTTTTGATGGATCACTCCACTGTCCGTCACTTCATCGGTATGTGGTTGTGGTGTACTGATATATTAGTGCATTTGTGTCAGGATTATTGATACCACATATCTAATATTAGTTGACTAAATATCGGTAGGACCCACCACATACCATGTGTTATACGGAAACAACCTTCGGATGCATAAGAAAGGATGAATAGAGTTCTACATGAAAACGACAAGGACTACTCAGATTGTATTCATATTGTTTTCCCTAGTTCTACTTAGACAAAGTGACATTTATGGGTATAAATACAAGGCCCCATAGGAGGAGAGGGGACACGGAACAATAGATCAAGACACAAGATCAACATACAAGCCAACATGCGCCAAGACAAGACGCCGGATATCGACTTCAGAGATAAGCATGGCTAGTCCCCTACGGTATCTACGGATACTGTCAGGAGAGACATAGCGCTGTCTTTGATCTCGCCGGATGCAGATTCGAGGAGAAAGACTACCTTGTTGTCGACTACGAGTCACACTTCAGACCGCCAAATCAACAACAGTTAGATAGGCTACCCCAAATATTGTACTGGTGTGATTATGGTGAATAAGAGCAACGACCGGCTTCGGCCAACAGGAGTAGGGTTATTACCTGACAATTCAGGGGGCCCAAACCTGTATAAAAATCCTCGTCCACATCTCTTTTATTATAATCTCGCATATATCCTAGTACCAACGATCCCTATACTATGTAAATGAAATTGCGACATCAAACGTCGGCAATATGAATCGAAAAAAAAAAGGAGGGTTTGGCTTACTTATCTGGACTGTTTAATTAGCTCTTGCGTTGAGATATATGATATCATGATCGAACAAGAGAGGCGGGGCTAGCTGTAGGCATGTATGGATGCACGTTATCTATGGTACTGTTTACTGATATGTAAGTCTCACTTGCACTCTCTCTCTCTCGACTGCATGTACCAAGATGCATGCATTCCCTTCATGAGTTGATCATATCAAAATTTGGTCCTGCCAAATGATTGTTACTGTTCAGTAGTTAGCTGTTGATTTGAGCTGGAATTGGAGCTTATGTACGTCGAATTGAATGTGAAGAGGCGGCCGGCGTCGCGTGTGTATATATGCTCACTGCTCAACACCGTCTCTTTTAATTTCGTTCTGCTGTACTAGAGTTATGAGAGACTGTACACCGTACTCATACATAGGCTGTGTTTAGTTCACGTCAAAATTAGAAGTTTAGTTATAATTGAAATGATGTGACGGAAAAGTTAGAAGTTTGTGGGTAGGAAAGTTTTGATGTGACAAAAAAGTTATAAGTTTAAAAAAAAGTTTGAAACTAAACACAGTCATATTCCCGTAATGGGCAGCAATGATGGGCGTGGCCGTATTTGGTTATGAGGTTGATCAGTAATCAGGCTTAAGACAAAATTGTCATTAAAATTTTTTTTGTCAGCATTCGAATATTTTGGAGTAATCACGAGACAGAGCATCACCGGGTTCGATCTTCACGTACCTAAATTGCAACAAGGAAACTTTGAAAAAGACGTGCCATCAACAATCCCATAGCCCCATACTCTCGATTCATAGCCCCCACAACCCACTCCATCTTCTTCCTCTCGTCGCTGCCCCATGCCGTCTTCTCCCGGTTTGTGATAGCTCATGCCGTGTTTTTTTCATTGAGTTGAAAACTTATCTTCCGCGCACTTAAAATAGAGCGACTCACTGACACATATGATTGATTAAGTATTATCTGGAGTAACTTTTTTAAAAAATAAAATAAATTAATGTGATTTTTAAAGCAACTTTCCTATATAAAATTTCTTATAAAAAACACAATGCTTAATAGTTTAGAAAGCATGTATGAAGTTGAGAACAGTGAGAAAAAAAAACACATCCGTCACCATCTAACCAGTTCTTTCTTTTATTACTTATTTCTGCCATCACCAAGGCCGTGTTTAGTTTCCTCCATATTCTCAATTTTTCATCACATCATATCATATCAAAAACTTTTCTACACACATAAACTTTTAACTTTTTTTCCAAACTTCCAACTTTCTTTCAAACTTTCAACTTTTTTCAGGATCTAAACACGGACTTTTAGGTACATTCTACTGCTAGTATATACTACTAGTATATTTGATCTAATGGTGTAAATTCATCCGATCTTCCTCCCAAATATCCTGCAGTATAAATTATTTAGAGTATATTTGTCTTTTTATCTATTTGCGTGGGGGGTAATTTTTTAAATTCGTGTTTCCTCACTTGGTCAGATCCGATCGATAGCCACCCACCTAGTCGAAGCCCCTTTTTTTCTCGATGCTGCGCGCATGGGCGATCATCGCTGCTAATTTCTTCTGCGAGCTGCCGACGACCACAATCTGTGCCGCCGCGCCGCCGTTCTTTCTTAATTAAGTTCAATGAATTAAGGACTGTATGTGTTATGGATTCAGACACTTAGAAACTGATCGAACCAAGAATGTATGAGATAATCCACTTCATTGCTATGAACAGATCAAATCTATTTACACTATTATGTGGTTTTATCCCTGACCAGTTTTTTCCCTAGTGTTCTTATGCAAATCATGCCCATTGCAAACTCAATCTACTAGATTAAATCCGATCGTCGAAGGAATCGCTATGCCTCCACTCACGCCGTCGCCACGCGCGATGGGAGCGCTACAACACCCGGACAACGAGATCCAGGAACTCCTGATTGAATTAAATCGCAAGAAATAAATCTCAATTTCAAATTACTAAACAACCCTTTTCAGAGTTTTAACAAATAACAAATCTACCCTTTCACATACTACTAGTATATACTAGCAATAGAATGTACTATAAAAAGTCCTCTTCGTAAATACGAGGAATCAATCGAACAAACCCTTAGAAAGAACATTTTCTCACTTTACCTGCTCTCTCTGCTTAGTATGTGTTTGGATGGAGGGTTTTGGGTGTATAAGACATGGCGGTCTATATTTTTTTTAGGTGTTTAGTTGCTGGGCAAAAGTGGGATAGGACGGCCCGGAGGAGAATATTCCCCCAGATGCAGCCGCCCAAGGCTCGGGCGAGCCGGGCGAGCGACCAAAGGAGGGTCGCGTCACCCCTCTCCAAAAGCGAGAACGACGGCGACGCAGCGGCTGGTGCGTGCGGCGAGGGCGGCGACCAACGCGAGACGCGAGAGCCATGACGGCGGGAGGTGAGCTCGACGGCGGCGGGAAGAGGGGTCGACGGTGTGCCCGGAGGCGGCGGCGGCAGGAGGCGAGCTCGGCAGCGGCACGGGATGTGAGCTCGGCGGCGGTGGGAGGAGAGCGAGGCAGCCAAGGCGGAAGAGGGGCCGACGACGAGCGGGAAGAGGGGTGACGGCGAGCCGGCGGCGGCGGCAGGATGCGAGGGCGGCGGCGGCGAGCTCGGCATAGGCCCGGGATGCGAGCTTGGCGGCGGCGGAAGGCGAGCTTGGCGGCCGACGCGGAAGAGGGGGCGACGGCGGCAAGAAGCGAGGGCAGCGGCGGCGTGCTTGGAGGCTCTCTTTTTTTCCCCTTTTTTCTTTGTTATTTTTCTTTTTTTTTCTGTGTGGATTTGTAATCGGGTTTTGGGTCTCGCCCCACTCACGTTAGGAGAGAAGGTATCCACTAACCCACCGTGGCAGAAAATCAAATATTGATTTTTCTTATTTTGCAAAATATGTTCACTGCGCGGTCTTGGTGGCGCTATGTTCTGCATGCAAGGCCATTTGAAAGTTCTGCATGCAAGGCTTGCTAATCCGCACGCATACAAGGCCGTTTGATCAGGAAGTTGTTAGTGTTGAGGTTGTTACCAAGATATCTATTTAAAACGGCGGCGAGGTAGGTCAGAAGAGGAGGGATTTGTGAGCAGAAGCAGATCAGTTCTGCGGAAATTTGATGGAGCATAATCTTTTGGGGGTAGAGGGCAGAAACTCGTCAGCAAGTTCAGAAGGCGGAACCTTGTCGACACATGATGTCGCATGCAGAAGGCGGCGATAGCCGTTGGTTCGTCCTTGCCGGCGAGTTCAGGCGAGCACCACAAGCCGACGGTGGAAGAAGGTGGAACCGCGTCGGCGTCTCGGCGAGTGGTGACATGCAGCAGAAGCCGGCGGTGGCGAAAGGCTGATCCTTGCCGACGAGTTCTTTTGCTCAGCACAAGCGGGCGGTGCGGGAGGACGGAGGTCTGTTGAATGGACACGAGTGTGTGCAGAACTCATCAACTGATTGGTACATATCGAAGATTCAAATTGGTTGATGTCTGTTTATAATTTTCCTCTTGTTTGTGTGTTTGGTTCTGACTGTGTGTTGCGTTCTTTGGTCAGGAATGGTTTTGTGCAACTGTGCATTGCATGGCTACTGGTGATAGGAGTGAAGTGATGAATCGCTCTCTCCAGAAATATGACATCCATTTCCAGAAATAGTCACACAGTTTGCAACATGAATTTCAGAAGCTGCGGAGAACCCCCGGCGCCGCAGAAGTTGTTCCGATCGAACATCTAACCAAGGAGAACATTTAGCCAGTTGTTTAATGAGCAGATCATATGGAATAATGGCTTGCTTTCTGCATGACCGTTGATTAGTAGTACGAACTATCTATAGTTATGTATGATATTTTCTATGAGAGAAACGCGACTAATATTTGAGTTGAGTTTTCTGTAACTTCTACTCGTTGGAGTGAAATAAAAATAAGAAGTTTTCCTTCGTTTTTTTTTGGCTATTTTAGCTTATTGTGTTATCCAAATTCTCTATTGTCATCTTTGTCCGCTATGCCCCATCTTTTTGTTTCGTAGTTGCTGACTGTCGTGTGAATTGGAGCAGTACAAGTTCTTCTGCTTCTTCTGCGGATGTAGCAGAACATGGATCGTAGTTTTCTGCTTGTGTTTGTATTTGGGTTTAGAGATGTAGCAGAACATGGCGAACAGCAGAACTGGGAGCAGAACATGACTTATTATCGTCCAGCGTGTTCGTTTCTGGTGAAAACATAAACGAGAGCCACCACCACCTAATACATTCGCACCTGCTGCAGGACTGCAAATGCAAAATATAAAGAAAACGAATTAGGAACAGAAACGATCAAGAAAAGAATCCAAAAGATGAAAAAATAAGCAGCAAACCTTAGAACCGGAATTCTCCATATGCTAGAGCTTTCATCGTTATCTGCTACACAGCCGCCGGTGAGGCTACTAATCTGAGCTCAGTTCGGTTATGAACCATCCAAACGTAGAGAACGATTTTAGATCGATAATGTTCTGCTCTTCCTTCACGACGGGAGAAATATCCTGCTTTCTCGCTGTGGATAAACAAACATAAGTGCAAAAAAACCACCCGGATATATCTCTTGTTAGCTCGTCTCCGATCAAATCTCATATCTACAAACTAGGGAGGCTACGTTCAATTTTTGAATCTGCTGTAGAAGATAAGTTAACCACCGAGAAAACTAAAAACGGGTGGGAATATTCGATTCATTAGACCCGTTAACAGTCATTAGCATTATCTAGTGCTAGCGATCGAATTGAGGGAGGATAGGGAGGGAGTAGCTACTCCCGGTAGTAGTTTCTAATTTTCATATATATATGAATTTTTTATTTGTTGGGAAATTTGTGAATTGCAGTATATATATGAATTTGATGGGGTATACTCACCCTCTCTAAGTGAGAGGTGACCACATCTGCTCATCCACCCTACTCCCTCGAACCAAACAAAAAATTAGATCACCAAATCCACCTTCATCACTGCAACCAAACGAAAAACTGTATCGCCACATTCACCCAACCAAACAAAAAACTAGATTGCCATATCCAACAAAATATGGATCACCATATCCCATCCTGTCTTGACCGTGAACCAAACACACCCTTACTTCCTGCAACCGCCGCTCCGATCACTCTCTTCCCCTGTTGCTGGTTCTACCCGTGGCTCAATTATGTTTTTTTACCCAACTTGTCATTATTGTGGATTATTATTATAAATTGTACATGGAGCGTTATTTATGATCTTTATCGTCTATTTATATGTGTTTAGATGCTTAACATATATATAAATGTGGTCTATTTATATGTGTTTAGATGCTTAACATATATATAAATGTGGGCAATGCTAGAAAGTCTTATAATATGAAATGGATGAAACGGAATAAGTACTATTTTGTAATGTTCAAATTACAGCAAACGTCACACCAATTATTTTCCCTCTGCTACAAAATTTTTCACACTTCCTAACTTTCCAAAATTTGTTTGCAATTTTTCAATCCTAAAAATACCTTCTTTGTGCGAACATATGAAATAGATCGATATTTGTTTGGCTACTGTCATTGCTAATTTGCTTTGAAATTTTTTTTTTGGGTCCAAACCGTGTAGTTTTCGCCAGAAACCAAGCATTTGCACGGCTTCGTCATATTTCAAATTGAATTGGATCTCTTCAACAACGAAAACCACAATTCAGACAGCCAGTTCTTCCCTCACTGAACCGAAAATGACACTGCCGTAGAATAAATCCCTCGCTTAACGATTATATTACGGAATGTCCATTGTAAAATCTATATACACTGTGTTTCTCGGAATTGATACCCGCAAAGGGAAGCTCAGACATCAGTTAAAGAGTCTGTAAACAAAACTTTTTGACGCAGAGCAAAGATGATGCTGACGATATGATTTTGTAGTTTACTGTACAATTATACAACAAGAGCTCTTTTCGAGCTGTGAGAGTGTGAGCTACTGAGCTTAGTGGTTCCGTAGATTTATATGCCCTCTGATTTCAAGGAAAACCCCATGAACCCCACTGAAACTTGTAAGGGGCCAAGGAAAAGCCGAAAAGGAAAGTATATATATGTATGTTACTACTCAGTTGTTGCATTTTGCTTCTCTTTTTTTTTTGTGGTCAGCATTCACAACGAAATGCAGAGCTAGGGAAACATCTATTGTCGGGTGCTATCTTTCTAACATTAATCTCGTTCATTGCCCGGATCATTTGTGGGGATAGGTGTATCCTGTCCATCAGGTTTACCTTGGGGGCATCAAGGATTGCCTTGGGTGGAGAACGTGCCCATTGCATTGCCCAAATGGCGAGAGGCCGCATGTAGATGAGCGACCTGTAGTGCCCGTCTATGGTCCAGCCTTCCGGTGTTTGGAACCAATACCTGCAACACAGCAAGAAACCCCATGTTATCTATATCACAAAGCAAACGGTGGTTGAAACAAGAGAGCATCAACAATATCTAATTAGTATTTTTAATGAAATTGTCAGTGAGAAGTAGAACGGTATTCATAAGGGAGTGGTTTAAGAGAGGTGCGCCAGAGCAAAATCGATGCGAAGCAAGTTGCATTGTTGTGAATTGCGAAATATGAGATTATTCGAAGAACAAGGTAGTGCTTACCCATATCCTTCTTCTGACCAACCAGCAATAAAAATTCCTTCGGCAGTGGTGAATCCTTGATGCTCCATTCCATGGAGCAGCATGTTTGCAGCAACACCGTATGTAACACCGGTCCAGATTTCCCGAGATTGCATGCATGTCTCATCCACTTTCCCATTAGGAGTCATACCATTTACAGCTCCCAATCGTCCTCCTTTAACCTTCATTACATTGAATTCAAATATTTTCTGCAGAGCACTTCTTATTTTATTCTCATCGAAAAGCGGGGGCAAGCCTGAAGAAGCAGCATACCACTGCCCTGCCAGCTGATCCGCCTGAATAGATCGGCTATTACTGCTTGTGCCACTGTCATAATTGAAGTAAGACCCATTCCATAACTTAGCCTCATATACTGCTTTCGCTTGTATGAATTTGAGCTTGTATTTTTCAGCAAATGGCCGATCACCAAGCCGATGAGCCATTGTAGCTGCAGCCTGAAGTGCAGCAAGCCAGAGACCGCCACAGTAAGCACTAATTCCGTGTACAGTCCAAGCATCATAGGTTTGATCAGGAAACCCATCATTCTCAATGAGACCATCACCGTCACGGTCAAATTGATTCATATAGTCCATCACTGCACAGACGGCAGGCCAAACATCTCTACCAAATGACATATCACCTGTAGCAGCGAAGTCTCTGTATACCTGGAGCACAAACTTTGGATTTAGATCTTTCCATTTGCTTGTATCATGTATGTTGTACGCATTCATTTCATGCCATGGATCATGTGTTCCTAGGTCATGCGGAACGGCACCTTTGACCTTGCGAATTCCAGAAGTACCATCAGCCAAAAATTTCATTCTTCGTCTGTCTTCATAGAGAACAGCATTGGCAAAATCACGTTGGATACTCAACTCTATTTTGGGAAACAGATCAAGCAGAGCAAAAGAAGCATAGAAATGCACATCATAGGTGCACCACATGATGTATTCCACTCCTTCCAGGTACAAAAATTTGCCAACATTTTCAGGGCCATTCTTGGAAAGCAAGTATGGAATTGGCTCTTGTGACCCAAGTCCGTTGGTTGCCTTAGCCATTTGTGGTCCATGTACTGCTGCATACTTTGACACACTTTGCTCTTCGCCATTAGCCAGGTCACCACCATTAGTGACTTGCTCTGCTGTCAGTTTGACATGGTTATCTTTAACTGATTCCTGTTTAGTGTCTCTAGTGCCCCTTTTTGAAGATTTCTGTTGATTAGAACCAGGACTTGGTTTTTCATCGATAACTGGTGGTTGGCCATCTACAAAGGTGATGCTAAACTCAGGTACCGCAAAGAAGTTTCAAGAGTAAAAGGTGCAATTTTAAAAATTATCCTAACGACATCCAGATTGTAATTTATGATGTACAACTGAACAAGCACAAAAACCACACCATTACAAAGTTGAATGAAGCATACCTGTCCAAACAGTACCCCCAGCTACCAGAAAGTAAAGCTCATTAAAAAGTGTGAACTTGTACCTGCAAGCACCATGAAACCCCAAATATTCTAGTTAAGATTTTGTTTTTCTTTGGGAGATTTAGATGTTTACTGCCAAAGTTCTTTACTGAAGAAGTAGAACACATCAGTTCAGAAAGAAATATAGAACTAAGGTTGTACCATTCTGGAAGTTTTTCATTCTTGAGTATGGGGTTTTGCCACTTCTCAATCTCCTCTTCCCAAATCCTATATTCTGCAAAAAAACATAGAAGGAACATCCAACAGCGTAAGGTCAGAAACCAAGGACCAACATTGCACATCTGTCCCTATCACAGCATCATTTAACTTTGTTGAGAATGTGTGAATTACGACAGCAACAAGTAATTACTGCATTGTGTGTGAATGTGTACAAGATTAAGATGTCTAAGTGACTAGAGAAGATTTATGAAGAGCTGGACAAAAAGACATACTTGTCAAGGCATCGTGTACCAAATTAACAGCTGATCTTTCAGAAGTTCCATAAAATTCAGTGTACCTCCTGCAATATAAGATAGAATATCAATCGATTAGAAGGTATTGTAATGCACACTAATTTTAAGTTTGACATGTGGAATTCACTTGCTATGTACTCTTAACAGATAGCAGTGAATATATTTTTGTGATATAAAAAAGAAGCTACCATGGGGAAAAGGCTAATTATGTATAAGCAATGTGATAGATAACTAAATAAAACAAGCCACCACAATTGGTCAATGTGAGATATTTAACCATGTTGTAAGATATACTGGTATTTCTCTACCAACTCAAAACAATAGGTGTTCATGATGCATTCCCAGCTCTTCACTTCAAGAGATCTTTTCTGAACAGATC